TGGATGGATGGATGGATGGATGGATGGATGGATGGATGGATGGATGGATGGATGGATGGATGGATGGACAACTTTAAAATCTAACAATAAAGTGTGGCTCCTTGGAGTCAAAGCATTTGAGTGTCAATAGTAGCAATAAGGAGCAAACATGCAGATATTAGAAGTTGCTAAAGTCTGTGTATGAGGGAAACCCAATGAAGTGTTATTCAGATGAGATTTTTTTTTTTTAAGAAACTGTGAAGCCTCAGTTACCCCAGATAATCAGTGAGGCTGTTGAGGTAAAGCTCAGCTGTACCTGTCTGGGCTGAAGCTGATGCCATACACTGGTCCGCTGTGTCCATGAAGGCACTTTGACTCACTGGCTGTCTTATCGTCCATAATCCGCTCAAGCACATCGTCTGACTCTTTGTCAATAAGATTCAAGTCTTAAGAGAGAAAAAACATGAGGCGTTACTTTAAAACAATGTTCTAGCCATAGCTACAGATGCTATCAGACAGTGTTTGGGACTTCACCTGCTGCAGTCTTGACCTTGCGGAGCTTTTTCGGCGTGACACTCCACACACGTACCGTAGAGTCAGCAAAGCCTCCTGCAATCAGGCTGGAGTCATCCGTCATGTCGACTGCAGTTAGACCCTGAAGGGTCCCAAAGAAGAAAAAGAGCAGTTAGGGCGTACTTTGCTACAAGCCGGTTAGGCCATCCAAATCGTCAGAGGGGTAAACACTGCAGGTTATTTAAGGTTACATGCCTGGTATGCGTTTAGGAAAGTGTAGAAGCAGATGGAGGGCAGGTTATCTGGTCCCAATCGAACTCTCTTAGTGGACTCCTTCAGGTACATGATCTTGTCCAGCTTGTCTGAGTCTTTTAGCTCTGGTAAAGGTATCCTAAAACAACAAAACCATTCAGCTACCTTGAAACAGTGAACATGTACCATAACATACAAAGGTTTGCATATCAAATGTACTTATCCACTTTTTTTTTATGTTACAACAACATACCCCCCGTTTATAGTTTTATACATTCCTTGTAAAATAACTCCAACTCACAAAACAGGAAACACAGCATCTGTGAACAACAACCTTTAGGTGGTGCCACATGCTTGGATTGAAATCAGTTTAATCTATCTTCACATTAGCTTTAAAAAGCTCCCATATGTCAGTTGATGAAATGCATTCCCACAGTATAATACTGTCCCGACTATTTTCCGCCATGGGGATTGCATTCAGAAAAATGTCCAGTTTGTTTTTTTGTTTTTTTGCAAGCCTAAAAGCTCATAGCTCTAATAAGTGTTTGTAGGTTTGCAGTTATGTCACCCAGTTTCCATTTTAGTAGATGGACTAAACAGAGATCTGAGATTTTCACACCTTGAAATATCCTAATATTACCTAATGCTGCTTAAATACCACCCCACAGCCCTGTCACTGACCTTTGTTATTTTATTTCTACCTTTATGATCCTCACAGCTGATCTCTAATTATTATTTAGGTAACTTTTAAGGACAGTTGGTTGCAGTGGATTTATTTAGGAGTGTTAATGCCAGAACACACCAAATCCGATTTTGCCTCCTATCCGACAGTAAATTGCGTCGGGAGAGGTTGTGGAGTTTATCGCTCACCGAAATCCAGTCAGGATGATCACATGATTCTAAACAGGAGATCAGCGTAGATCCGACTAAGAAGCAATTCAGCAGCAATTTAATGGGTCTGACAGAGAGACGTGGTTACAAACTAAACATCCTCTTTGGGGGGACATACAAAATAAAATCTGTTAAGCGCACAGGGAAAGAGTCAGTTTTGGAGTAGCTTTTTACCCATGATAGGATTTTTTCACATTTCACATTTTTGCTGCGTCATCCTTATTTTAGTTGTAGATCTCATTACGTTTCTAATACAGGCATATGAACATTCTATATATGTTCAGGTTTGAGATGCTTCACAAACTACTTAAATGGGGCTTTGCTTTATAGAATGTGCAGGGTTTTTTTTTTTTTTTATAACTTTTCATAATCTATTAAATTCACATTGTGGGAAATTGTTTCAATTTGTGTATAGCACTGAGAAGGGAGTGGCAGCCTAGTGGTTAGGGCATAGAGCTTGGAATCGTGAGGTTCAAGCCCCACTCCCACAGACTGCCACTGCCTGAGAAAGAAGACCCTTAAAGGACTGCTCAGCGGGCGCCGCACAAGAAATGATTGGCTGAATTTAGGTGTACAGGCTGACGTATAACTAACTGGCCTGCATAAGATAAACGGGAAATATAAACAGAGATTTTAAAACAGGATTTTTTTTTTTAAATAGAAATGTTCTTAATTTTGGGACAATATAGTCTGATAAAGAGTACATTTATAAACATGTTTAAGCCAGAATGATTTGACATTTTAAATATGACTTCCCTACGACTTTAGAAAAAGGCACAGATCTGTCCACCCTGCCTAGTCTAAGCCTCTCTATACGCAGTCAGTGTGACATGGATAAACATTGGTTCAAGATTAAAAAGTTATACACAAACAGTGTGTTCTGGCCTTTAGGGTAAAGAGGGCTGAATACCATTATGAGTTATTATTTATAAGACTAAATCCTGATAAATCCCACCACTGTTTGTTGCTGTAACAGTGGAAAGAAAATCAGGGTGTGTATACCTTTCAAAGGCATTATAAATAGCAAAGGTTCATCTGATGAATGTCCCAGATATTGATCATTATGCAGAGAGGGTTTAAAATGAGAATCTACGGTGTTGAACTAACAGTGGACACAAAGGGTCCGTTCATTGCAGTGTGCAGTGTTTGAAAATTCTCTACCTCGTCTGTGAGGGAGCGTTTGGATCCTGCTTCTTGCTTTTGGAGCCGGTACTATCCTTTTTGGGCTTTTTCTTTTTGGGTTTACCCTCCTCATTGTCTGCTTCCTCATCCTCATCATCAAGGGGAAGCTCAATTTCTGGCTCTTTCAGAAGACCGTAGTAAACCTACAAAAAGTCAAACAAGCAGATAAATATAGACTTTTTTTTTTTTTTTTATGCACCAAAAAATATTAAAGATTTAATTTCACTGGAGGCCTAGCTATCCAACCTTAGCCTTGTTTGCTTCTCGTTTGGCCTCTCCAGCCAAGCTGCCTGACATGGCATCGATCTGGCTCTTGCTCCGCAGCATGCCATCAAAGATGTCGATGTAGAGATGTTCTTGGATTATGTTCCATATTTGGTTGTTCTGCCGCTCCTGCAGGTGTCTCTTCAGCAGCTGGTAGGAGTCCCGGGAGATGCGTAAAACAAACTTGCTGGTGCGGAAATCCAGCAGGGTTTCATTCCCTCTCATATGCTCCTTCTTGGTCAGGCTTGACAAAATGCGTAGGTCTTCTTCATAGTAGCACTCCTGGTCTCCACTAAACCTGAAAAGTGGAAAATGAATAAGTGTGTCTTATGGGATCTCTAAGGTGTACACTAAAATATCCTAAAGAAACGTACTTTTCAAAGAAAGCTTTGGCCTCGCTTTCATGATTGTTGTAAACCAGTTCCAGGTACATGTGCACAAACAGAGGGTAGAAGACCTGAGACAGTTCAGCTCTGTGACAGTCCAGAACAGACTCGATGAACTTCTTCAGGCCGCTATAGTAAACTTCGTAGAGAGCCGGATCTCCCTGCTGGCTGTAGGCTGACAGCACCACGTTGACGTCTGGCTGATCCTCGCCAGCTGCTGCCGAAGAAAAGTAGTTATTCAAACATTGGTAGATTGAAATCATTTTGGAATAATTTTGATTTCTGAGAGCTTATTGTTATTTGAGGGTTCTTACACACTTCTAATATCAAAACTCCGTCTAAATATTAGGTTTATCATGAATGTACCGGGTGAACGGAAGTATAAATCGGTGAACAAAACACTGAAGGATGGAAAGTATATGCACATTTGGATCGATGGCAAAACTTACATAGATAAGGGGAAAACACATATATGTGTGTTTTCATTTAGAATAATTAGATTTATTTGTCAACCATTTAGGTAAAATATATTTAGAACACTTTTTATTTATATATACATTTTATACCGTTATATATAAGTGCAAAAAATATATATACAGTTTTTGCAGTTTTCAAAGTTGGAAACAACATCAATCTAAATCCTCACCTAACCTGTAAACTGCAGAGAAGACTTAAAAAATTGTTATAAGTTACAGATTTACCCAGAAATCCCATCAATGCACCACGCAGTTTGTTTGTTTGGCATTTCTGAAAACGTTTAAAATAGAAGTTTAAGTAAAAGTTTAAGCCTCCAGGTTTGTTTGAAATCATTGAACAGATTAAAAATGTTGGGGGGATGTAAATTAACTTGACCGGAGACATTTTCATGCAGTGTTTCACACACTTTGTATTATCAGGTAGAGCGAACTGCACCTTTGCTCGGCGCCTTAGCTCCGCCGGGGGTAGGGAGGGTCACCCGGCTCAGCAGAGAGCTCGCATCTTCGCCGTCTACCTCCGTACTGCCCCCTTGTCCAGAACCGGTGGAATCAGATCCCTTCGGATCCAGAACCTCCTCCGGCAATCCCGCCTCGCGACGCAGAATTTCCGCGGACTCTGACAGTTTGTTCTTTCTGAGGAACTGCAGCACAGCCAGAAGGGTCTGCTGTTCCTCGGGGGCTCCCGCCGCTGGTTTGTTGTTTCCGGCCGCAGCGCTCGAACCGGGGGACGCCGTGAGCACTCTTGCGTCGTTCGCGTGATTATTTCCGAAGCCATCACTCGTCGGTTCTTTTTTAATGTCCGTTTCGTCTTTCGCGTCGACCATACCACCCTGTACGGCCGCCATTTTCAAAATGAAGTGCGCATGCGCGAGGTTGAAATTCGGAAAACGGCAACTGTGTTCTGTCGAGTCATCTGATTGGCTCAAGTCCTTGTCGATCAAAGACGATTGCAAATTAGTCCCGCCTCCTGAATAAAATGTGGTCTCTACTGCTTCTTAAGCCGTGGAACTGGTTCAAAAGCTGCCTTTAGTGGTGCTCTTTATTATATTAACAGAGTCATCACAAACTTTAATGTAGAGCAACTAAACATAATATTTGTTTTGCATAATTTGAACCTCATTTCAAATGGAACATCCAGTTAAACACAGAGTAGGAGTGTTTTTTGTTCTGTTTATACTTTTAACAAAACACGACAAACAGAAAAAGGTTTGATCTTGTTGAGGTTTTGTTTTAAAATGCCTCTGCAGTTGTATAGTGGTTCAAGAATCATTGACTTAAACATGCAAAAGTACTGAATTGAACTCAGAAAAAGCTAATTTGCCACATTTTTAAACACTTTCGTATTACATTAATTAACTTTTATATTAGGCCAAGGCTTTGTGACTCCTTTCAAAAAAGTAAACAAAAAAAACAACAACTATCCAATGGACTTTGTTTCACTTTTTGGAATGACTATGACTTGGGTGACTGAGAACATTCACCAGCACAAGGCTTTGTGACTAGTTATCACACTTTTAATATCTCAAATAATTAGGTCTATTTTCTTTGGAAATCCAGTGCCTAATGTCAATGCGCCTTCTTTATGTACATTATTCAGCTTGTCAACACATTGATCTAAAAATGCACAAAAAACATGTTTTATAAGACAGGAAATTAAGGAGTTTTAATAGAATTTTTTATTTGGATGTTTTAGAAATGGAACTATGCATTAACTGAGCCTTAACAGAAAAGTGATGCAGGTTAAACTGGAAAAAAAAACATTTCTGTGTACTTGTCAGGTTGAGCGCTTTTGCTGCCCCGTCTACTGAACATTCTAGGCCCCAAGTATAAGTAGGGCCATTCTCCACCCACTTCCTATGCTACCCGCCAGTAACAGCTGTGTCTGCTGGCGTGCTGACGGTTCTCTAGGTGCAGGGCTGGATACTTTAGTGGTCACTTCCTCATTCCTGGTGGCAGCCAGGCCAGGTCCTGCCCATGGGGGCCATGCAGCATTGAGCATCCGACCCTTTGGCTATCATACAGATACAGCATGGGTGTGACCAGCCACAGGCGGAGCTGCCACAGCCCCTTTGGATCCTGGCACTGTGGCCTCTGGGGTCGGGCCCGTCAGGAACAGGATGGGCCCCTTTGGGGTTTGGCCCCTAGGGGGTCAGGCTCCGGATGCTCTAGTCTGGCCTTCTCTGGTGGGTGGAGCAATTCCTACGTTTGCCCTCCTTGAGTTCCAATGAGCTGGTGTGCCTTTGGATAATGGGGCTTGCATCGCATCCTTTTCTGTTCTGTCCCTGTAGTGTTGGTGTGGGGACACTCACACCTGCTATTAAGCACAATTTCCTTCTGAAGAAGCACTGTAAATCGTTTATACACAGGTGTGCTCATGCATACATACCATGGGAGTTTGGTTTCAGGTTGCTCACAGATACACACTAATACCAAATACTAAGCTGTAGCTACAGACATATATCCCCCTGAATAATATTTTGTAAACACCATAGATTTTGACTTATGCACACATGGATATCTAAAGGATACCCACTGCTCTTGATGTTATTTTTTATGTTTACTTGTGTGTTTTTCTCATTTTTGCTAGTATGCTCTCTGTTTTGAGTTCCTCTCATCTCATACAAGTATGGAAGCAGACTTCTAGGAGTTACTGTATACCTTCTGTGTTGTAAATTTTTGCAGTTTTGTTTTATTTTCTCTCTTTTCATGCTCTTTTATGTCTCTATCTCTCTCTCTAGTTCA